GGCATGATTTCATGAGAATCTTGCATGATATGACTTATTTGAAAAAAATACATTATTTTCAATTAATTGGTTGGCTTGAAATTTTATTCAATGATCGCATGAATTGTTATTAATGATTCTGCTTCAATTGTAAATTATCTCTATATTATTAGATATTAATTCTTAATATGTATCATTTGTACTTCTTCTGATTAATCATTGCAGAGGATTCAATAAATTATGTTCAAGAAGTTGTTGATGACATGTCAGATATTCATAAGCATAAAGGAGTGGTAGAATTTACTCGTATATTACCTACAACAATATGTGTAATTCATGATTATTATATATTGCATATTTGTAAGAGCCCTTGCATGTCATCCGGTAAAACTTGGGATAAATGGGTGTCTGAGTTATTGTATGGCCATCCAAACATCTTTTATAACATGTTTTGAATGTCACCAGTAATTTTTATGGATTTACTTTCTTCATTGAAATCATCATATGGTCTACATGGAACTCGCAGAACTACTGGTAGAGAGATACTGGCAATACCTTTATACATTTTGGGATGTAATCAGAATATTAGATGAACATGTGAACATTTTCAGCACTCCACAGAAATGATTAGTAAGTTTTTTTATAATGGTCTAAAAGCATTAGTTAGTTTAGCAATGAAGATAATTGCACCTGTCGATAAGTTTTTCCATGCTATTCCAGAAAAGATTCTGAATGACACGTGATACATGTCATTATTTAAAGATTGCATTGGTGCTATTGATGGGATATACATCATTGCACACATCCCTATTGTAGAATAGGTTGCTTATATTAGACGTCATCATTCACCAACACAAAATGTGATGGCTGCATATGATTTCAGCAAGTATTTCATGTTTGTTGCACCTGATTGGGAGAGCTCAGCACATGATGCACATATATTTCAACATGGAATGATGGATCCAAGATTTAATTTCCCTCAACCACCTTTAGGTATTCATAATTTATATAATTAAATTACTATTTCTATTTATCCTTTTATAATGTATGCTAATTAATCAATATGTGAATAGGAAAGTTCAACTTAGTTCATATCACATATAAGATTTTAGAAGAGGTAGTAGAACCACAAGGGGACATGAGGAGCTTTTTAATAATAGACATTCCTCACTAAGAAGTGTCAATGAATGAGCATTTGATATTTGGAAAAAAAAGGTAAATATTGATAGATATGCCTACTTATAACTTTAAGAAGCAGTGCCTTATTGCTGATGGTACAATGACATTACATAATTATATTCGGCGACATATCAAGGAGAGATCTTGAATTTTCGAATTGTGACATTAATGAAAAATTTATTCATCCAAAGTTATATGAATGCAGAGTAGGAGAAGAATTTGAATAAAGTAATAGTTTAGATGGTGAGGTAGAGTTTTGTGATGTGGAAGGAGTGAATGACATGATTGAACAAATAGATAAAATTGCTTTTAAACTATACAGTTATAACAGGTAAAATGAATATGAAATTTGTTTTGTTGTGAATATTGTTTTACAAACAATTTCAAAAAAATCTAAAATATTTGTTTTTAATGTTTTTAACAAGAATCAAATTTAATCATCACCCTGAGAAAAATTTTAACTTAAAGCTTTGGTACATTGAAGGAGATGATTACATATTAGTTAAATGATTAATTTAAGAAAGTTATTACAAAGAATGTGTTAATCAGTATGACGATCAAAATGCTCGCAGTACTTTCAAATGTATTTCATAATTTCAGACTAACTTTGAACTTTCAGTGTTTTTTTGTTTTTTTTTTTAGTTCCATGTTTTAGAATCATTGATGTTTTTGAGATATTTAGGTGTGTTTTGCAATTTTTAAATTTTATCTTTCGTACATATGTATGTGTGTAAGAAAAACAAGCATGCTTTGGGTGTGTTTTATTTTTTTCAGTACTTGTTTTTACTTTCCCACCACTATGATTACACATGTTGAAAGCTAGTGCAAAGATTTAAGGAATTTGTACGCATGATAAGAAATCGGAATAATATTTAAATGAAGAAATTGTTTTTTTCCCAACAAAATAAATCCATTTTGCAATATAAATTTACTTCTATAGTTGAAGATAAGGCTTTTAATGGGAAAAATAATAATGAAAATTTGTAACTCTTATAGCAAAATAACATAATTTAAATTTTATTAATGATACTGCATGCTAAGAAATTGTAAGTTCATAATGTAAACTTTTTATATTATAAGTTAGTAATAAAATAATTGCTTTTTTAGAATGTCACATAAATACATTTTTGTAAATGTTACTTTGTAAAATAAAAAAATTTAATTATATATACTTAAATTTTATAGATGGGTAATTTAGTCATCTAAAATAAAATCACTAAAGTTGAACTCCTAAACAAACAATTTAGATCGGCTTTCAAGTATTAAATACTTAAGAAAACATTACTTAAATAACATATAATTATTAAAACTCTATTTTATGAAACTTCTTTTTCTCAACCTTCCTTTCTGAAACTCTTTTTTCATAAGCAAAAAACCAAATCAAACAAGCTTGAATTTTGCAAGCTTATAACTTATCAAGATACTTAGGTAACTCAAGGCAAGTTCCTTGAAAAGGAAGGGAACCTGAAGATTAAAGCTTCTCACGAAGTTTCCAAAGAATGTACTTCGAGTTAAACGAGTAGCTTTTAATGCTTTGGAAACTTCAAAAGCAGATTGTTTGGTCAAGATCAAATAACGATTTTGGTTGTCAAATGCTAACCAGGTATCAAGAAGGATTTAAAAATACAATTACAATACTTGATTAACTCAGCCCAAATTATATTAAGTGCATACATTAATTCTGAAATCTTCCAATAGCTTTAAGACATTTTTGAACGTCTTTGAGACCATTAACTTCATTTTTTTTTATGAATGCAAAATGCATTAATAAAAGAAAAGGACCAAAGTACCTAGATACAAACTATTGAGAGTAAACCACTATCACTTTCTTCATTCACTAAATGAACAAAAGGAGGAAGTTTACTCTCACAAAACATATCCAAAAAAAAAATCATAAGTAAAAGCTAAGTTAGCACAATAATCAGCTAACTTATTACAATTGTGACCAACATAATGAATAATAACATTATTCCAACAACATAAAAACAATAAATCTTCATCTTCAATGCTGCCCATAAATTTCTTTGGTTTGCTGTACAACTTATGAAGAAACTGGATCACATTTTTATTGTCTCCCTCAATAATAATACCTTTAGTATCATGTAAACTTCCTTGTAATACTTCCTTCAAGGATTTAAAAGCAAAAAAACTCCAATTGTGCTATATCCCAATGAACACCACCAAAATCAAATGCTAATATAAACCGTCCTTTACTATCTCGAACAATGCCACCAATATCTGCCTCATTATTACCTTTTAGTGCAGCATCAATGTTTATTTTATACCACTCGGGAGGAGGAGGATGCCAAATTTCATAAAACAACCCATCGAACTAATTGACATCCCAGTGATCCGAGAGGATTACATTCTGGTTAGCCATACTTACAAAACCAAGAACTCTAGCAACAATCATCACTTCACTATCTTCCACTTTATCGTGCTTCACATTGTTCTTGCTGCTCCATGAGAACCATAACAGAGTAAGTAGATTTTAACATAAAACGAATTTGTCCTAGCCATCTTTTCAACTCATGCAAACACTCCTGGAATGAGTTAAATTTTGGTAATCTGAATCCCCAACTTATCAATAAGTCAATTACCTTTAAAAGCTTTAAACAAGTAGCAGTAACATGATTAATGTTTTCAACCCCTCCACATCCCCTTTGGCATATATTGTTGTTAGCTAACCTTCTATTCATTAAAAAATCTGTTGCAGGAATTGTCTTCTTGCAAACTCGCCATAGAAAAAGTTCAACCTTGGCATTCAATTTTAAATTGTGAATCCATGAAACAGGATCCACAATCATCTCTTCCTTAAAGCCATCTTCAATTACCATAGCTGAAATAGATCTTCCACTCATTTTCATCTTTAATTCCATAAAATCTTCATTATAATTATGACAAATATGAATACTGCTTATCATATTAACAAGATCTTCCCCAAAGTATAAAATCAATTTGACATAATCCCACCTTCCATCATGAATGAAGAAGTCAAGAGTTGTTTTATCATCTTCAAAGATTGCAAGAAAAGTAGGCCATCTAAGCAAACTCTTGTCCATGATCCATACATCTTGTAAGAGTTCATATTTGAACCAACAACAACTTTCCATCTTACAAAACTTCTAAGAGCCTTCCATCCCCAAGCAATGATCTTCTGAAGAACCACCTTTCATAACATCATTACTCCACCATCTTTCACCATGTTTAGCCAATATATTCCTATTCAACAAGGTAGAAGGATTTTGCAATAAATTTCATGCATACTTCGCCCTGAACGGCCCCATCATGGACATTGCCGACTGAATACCCCAACCTCCCAATGCTCTCGATTTACACAGCACATCCCAACACACATAATGCAACCCATGACTTCCATCTTAGTTATTCTAAATAAAATTCCTACATAATTTCTCAAATTCCTTCAAAATACTAAATGGAGCAAGATAATTAGACATAAGGAATAAAAGAAGTTAATAAAAACAATCTTCACCAAAACCAATCTTCCGACAAGAGAAATGTACCTATTGCCCCAAGCATTTAACTTTTTGAAAGATCTATCCAATAGAAATTGGAAATCAAATTTTCTCAATCTCCTTGGAGCAATCTTAATTCCCAAGTACTCCATCTCTTCAATAAGCTTAAACCCCAATAACCTTGTAATTTGTTTCTTCCTTCTTCTCAAATTTAGCACAAATCATAGACCATTAACTTCATGGTAGCTAAAAAACACACTCTATAATGTCCCACATTTGCCTACCATGAAATTAAGTACGACACATGAAAATTGGACTTGAGCTTAAGCTAAACTTTTTTTTTGTTGCTCTTCTAAAATAAATCAATGATTCAAAATGCAAATATGCATTAATATAATACAATCACATTACATATATTTGAATAAAACTGTACTTTAAAGAGACTCGATTCGATCCAAACTACTTTAATATAAATTAGATTTGAGTAAAACTTAACTATTTGTAGAATTATATATTTTGATCAAGAGACATGACTAAGGCCATTGAATGGCAAATCCGGACCACATCATCTTTACTGTTGGCAGGAGCAAATTCACGAGCACCTTCGGGGCAAGCCCTCAATTCACCAAGCTTCCAGTTTGCCGCCAACCTCGCCGTCCCTCTTCAAATAAATCGTTCTCGTAACCCAAAGCTCATCCATCTCCATCGCCTCTTCACTATCAATAACCCGTTCTTCCTCCAACTCCTCCCAATCTTCTCCAATTCCAGCTTCAAACAAATCTTCCAACCCATCATCATCTTCCTCTTTCTCTTCCTCTTCCTCTTCCTCTTCATCACCGTACGCTTCAAACCCAACACCTCTCCTCCTTTCTCTTCTCATCCTCTTCCCTTCTCTCACTAATTCTTCGAGCTTGGCCTTCACCGATCCGAGTTCGTCCTCCACTTCCAACCTCCCCTTCTCATCATAAGCCTCCAGAAGAAACACGGAGTCACGATTCCCTTTCACACTAACATAGAACAACTCTGGATGTCTAATCAGCATCGCCCTAAGTCGATTCGGCAGCCCAAAATCCTTCCTGAAGTGCGTAAGGTGATCCACTAGCGTCCTCCTTTCTGTCGTCATCCCCAAAACCTCCCTTACGACTGCGCACGCCCTCTTCTCCTCGAACTCAGCCGTGTCAGCTTTCAAGCAACCGTACGGATTCACCTCTGGCAGGGATTGGAACCGAATCAGGTACTCACGATGGCGTCGCCGGAGGTTGAGCCCTCGCCGCAACTTCAACTGCGGAAACCTTGGCACTCGGTTGATAATCGGCTGGCGAAGGGGGTCGACATTGCTCGTGAGGCCGATTCGTGGCTCAGCGAGAGAGTGGTCCCAAGAGACAAGCTCGAGTGCGCGACCGTAGGAAGTGTCGACAATGCGGAAGCGGGATAGGTGGGCGTTGCAGAGGCGGGAGCCGAAATCGGGGGCTAGGCCAAGATCAGGAGCTAGGTGGGCGAGCTTGGAGAGGAGGAGACGGCGATGAGGGGTGAGCATGAGGAGCCGTTGGAGCTTGCCAGCGAGTGCATCCGTGACGCAAGCGCGAAGGCAGGATTCTTCTGCCGCGAGAGCAGCAGCGGCGGGAGTGAGGGTGACGGCGAGGACCGAGAGGGAGGGGGAGGTGTGGGAGGGTGCATGGAAGAGGGTGAAGAGTGCAGGGTACCGCTGGATCATGGAGAGAAGAGAACGGTTGGGAGGAGGGTTAAGGTAGGTGCGGCAGCGTGAGAGGACGCGGAGAGGAAGGAAGCATTTTGGTTTGGAGAGGAGCAAAGTCTTCAACTTTCGGACGAATCGGAGATGGCTGTGCTTCGCTGCGCAGCGGTCAAGCGCCGGACAGCGGACTATCCTCATCGGCGGTAGCGACGAAGACGAAGAGAAGCTCGTGATTGTGAGGGAGGAGGGAGATTTCATAGAGGATGTGTTTGTTTTCGAGAAGCAGAAGCTTATTCTTTTGGGAGGAGGGGCCAAGAAGGAAGAGGACGACGATGAGAAGGCCAGTGCCATTGGAAACTCCCTGTTGACCTAAGAAATTGAAACTGCGTTATCGGGAAATATACCACGCTATCGAGAAATGCTCTAAGAGCATTACCAACCGAAAATTTCATTTTTCACTGCAAATGTGAAATTAAAAAATACCATAATTTGTTTGCGATATAACTCCATTTTTGACGAAATTTTTGAAATGAGCTTAGTTGATAATTATTTTAGGAATAGGAGTATGAAGATAATAAAATTTAAAAAAGAGCAGAAATGCGAACAGGAAACACGTTTTCTGAAGAAAACGCAAAGCGAAGAAAATGCGATCCTGCTTTGCGTTTTCCATACAAAACGCAAGGCAAGGCTGCGTTTTGTAAGAAAATACAAAGATCCTTTCCATTTTCTTCATAACCGGACCCCCACACCTGAATCAGGCGGAAATTAAAGCTGGCATGACTTCTTTTGGCACGCGGACCCGACGAGAAAGGGAGAATAATCACGGATGACTTTCCCGTGAATGAGCAGTTCCTCCGTGAAGCAACTAGCCAAAGCAAAAATTTTTTTTAATGGTGTATCTTGCCTATAAATAGAGGGGAAATGGAAAAATAAACGGTTGCTTATTTGAGAGTTTGAGGGAAACGCTGTGCAAAAAAAGATTAGTATATACAATTTTTTTTAGATATTATAATATACAAGTAACAAATTTTTTTTCATATTGCTGAATTATTTTGTTTAAGTATGTGCATATTATTGTAGTTTTTTAAGAAAACTTGTTGAAAATTTGATTGGTTTGAAGGAGAAAAGCTAGATCTAATTGCACTGTTCTTAATTTTGGATACATGATCATGTTCAAACCTACAGGCTAAATCTGAATGCATTTATGGCAATGATTAAAAATTAAGAGATTAACGTCCAATGCTCGTAGGCCTCATTTGATAGTGTAGTTTACAACTTTATTTTATTGTGGTTTGTTGTCAAGTGAATGATCGTTTGGTAAAATTATTATTGTTTGCTTTCTAAATTGTTTTGATAGATTAACTTGCTCTATAAGAACGATAATGAAGGAAATCGAATCAGTTAAATGACAAATAAACATAGATTTATAAGTAAATTAAATTAACTATGTTTATCTTAAAAATAAGTAACGACATTAAAATTTAATAATTTTGCTGTTATGAATAAAAAAAATTAGATTAATAATTATTATTTTATAATGGTTCATATACTAGTAATAAGTAATTTTATTACTGAACAAGGAAACATTATAGCATTATTTATCCATGAAAAGCACCTAAAATTTAAATTAAAAGTTCTCTGAACAAATAATTGAGAAAATGAACTTTTTTGTAGAGAGAGAGAGAGAGAATAAGACTGAGAAGTTGAATTAGATAGTAATATTAAACATTTAATTATTTTATTACAGTTAAATTTAAAACTTCTAAATAAATAATAAAGTAGTATATAATAATATTAAATATTAAAGTTATATATTAAACATAAATATTAAAATTATAAATCATAATGAGATAATAATAGTAAGAGTTATAAATAATAAAACATTATAATTATTGTAGATTTTGTCATTCAAAAGTATATGAAAAATCCTTTAATTATGTATTTAATAATTTAATTAAATATAGAAACATTAAAATTTAAATGAATAATGATGTAAAATAAGTGGGAAGTTGAGTTACATATAAATATTAAACATTAAAATTTTCTATTTGTAAAATACCTATCTAATTTTTCTGGAAAAAATAATATTCTTATAATTACTAATATTAAATATTAAACTTATAAGTTTAGTTTAAAAATAAAAATAATCTCATATAATATTAAGAATGAAATATTAACATATTTAATAAAATAAATTTATTAAGATAATAAAAATAAAGTTTTAAAAAATAAATATAGATGTAGAGAGGTAGAGAGAGTAAGAGATGAGGAAGAAAAAATTAAATAGATAGAGAAGTTGACAGAGAATAAGATAGGGAGAGAGAGAGAGAGAGAGAAGAGAGAGAGAGAGAGAGAGAGTAAGAGAGGGAGACATAAGTGATAGATTAAAAATTGTCATAATATGAGATAGAAAATATAGAGGTAGAGAGATACAGAGATTTGGAGATAGAATTAAAGAGAGAATAGAGAGTATATTAAAAATATAAATTGGATATGATTTAATATGTAATATTAAATGAAAATTATTTAAATAAGTATTTTAAATTTTTAAAAATAAAGAAAAAAATAACATTTAGATAAAAAATAATGTTTAACACAATAAAAAAAATTTGTTGGAGAATACTATTTGAGAATAAATTATTGAAATATGAAATTCATAATACATAATGAAGGACTTCTACATATATTAAAATTTGGTCATAAGAATTAAAAACATATATGTATCATTTAATATTTAATTTAATGTAAAATAGATAAATTAATATTTAAATGAATGATTGAATTAAGTAGAATTTTTGTTTCAAATATTCTTCCTTTGATCACTCAACTTAATAAGAACAAAAATATTGAAACCAAGCATATATTTGTAGAGATGTTTAGATAAAAAAAACCGCCTCAAACAGATCCTAAATTTAGATCGTAATTACAATTAATTGGGGCAGATTTAAGCAGTGAAATAACTTAAGTTCCCATGGATTTGAGCCAATACAACCGTATACATCGAAAGACAAAAAATTCTTAATTAAATAATTAAAAATTTTTACTAATCAAACTATAAACCTCAATTTATCCAGGCATTCGTCCCACGCACCTTCCTCAAATGGCGACTTAACATTAACAAGTTATATTTATTGATTAGATGCATCCAACAATAAATCAAATTGACCAAAAAATAAAATGCAGATGCATGCACAGTGACAAAGTTAGAATAATACACTTTGTTTGACACAGTTTTATATGTGATGTACAAAAATAAAGATCAAATTGATCAAAAAAAAATTCAGTAAAATATTTTGCATTAGATGAAAAATAAATCTATTGTTAATAATTATAGAAAATATATTGCATGATCTAAGTGGTGCAAGTTATTAACAATTAATGGTTTATTTTAAGATATTATTAGAGGGAGATAGATACGGAGCGAGCTAGGACGTTATGGTTTTGAGCAATTTCCATTAAACTTTTAGGCCATATGAGAGATTTTATAAGTTCTTTTCTACGTAGCCTTTTTTTCACAATAAGCTAGATAGTCATTTAGTTATATTAACGACATTATTACCCTAGAAGACCTCAAAGTTAGGATACTTAGAGCATTATATCGTGATTACACCACGCACACAGTCAATCTGGCATGTCGGCTATGGAATAATGGCGGTCACACTGCAGTTCGAATTACAGATGATGAGGTATGTACCTTTGTACTGACAGAAGGACGACGAAGGACCGTGATCGTGTACGTTGAGTTTGAAGAATTACCCGCGCTAGTAGTCCGATCTGATTCACTACCAAACATAATTTTTGATAACCCTCGCCATTCCACCTACATATCCAGGTTAAATTCATTTTTGATACTTCTGTGATGTTACACTAACTCATCACATATTTATAATCTAATTATAAGTTCATGGTCAAAATTTGCTTGTAGGCCAGCACCCATAGATACCGATCCTCCATTTTCACGTCGGTTGAGCATGAGCTCACGCTGACATTCGACCTCAACATACCAACATCTACATTAGGATCACCTTTTATGGTGCATAATATAGGGGAGTGCAGTGCACCAGCTGAAGGACATTCAACACATCCTATCAACGAAGCAGTACTACCCGATTATGAGACGATGTACAGCGGTTCAAGCGAAAACTCGAGCGGGGAGCCAAAAGCATCGCCTATGGAGGATGTGGAGGTAACAATGCGTGCGGATCAATCATTCCAATCACATTGTATCAGTAGATTTTCTGAAGGGTCGAATTCTTGAACTTGGTCGTCATAAAGATGGTACAATTTAACCGGGAATGGGAAGATCGATGCTTGACATAGACCATTGTATTTTATTCTGTCAGTGGTATCAGGATAATGATAAATTGCTATTAAAGTGTTATAAAAAGTTGTTGCAATCTTCTGAACAAGGTAAACCTAAGGAATTTCTAAATGGAGGAGACTGGCAACGGATACAAAAAGAATATAAGATGAGGTTCAGATGTTGTCCCACACAAACTCAGCTCCAACGTCGTGTACGATTCTTACTGCATAATAAGTAACAATAAGAGTAATGTTTTTTTAGCAACATATCATTATGTAGGATTGTGCTCATGATGAATATGTCATTTTGTAATATTTCATTTTGTGTAATGACAATTTCTAATTATTACTGAGCTTCTATTTTTTTTTATGAACGATAATTTCTACATAGTGTGGGAGAGAGAGGAATAGAGGTAGAGGTACACAGAGTTTGTTAATTTTCATTTTTTTAATAAATTTATTTCATACTAATTCTTAAAATATTTCTCATGATTTAAAATCATTTCTATTTTTAAACAAAATTATTGTTAACTTTAAGCTTATTTTTAAAACAGCAATAAAATAATTTCATTTAAATATTTAAAATATTTTTTATTTAAAAATATTAATAAACTTTAACGGCTACAACTAATAAATTTATTAGTTTTAACAATTCATACATATAATAAAATTTAATATTATACAATATTAATAGATTACTCATTCATAATATAAAAAATTAAAGTAACATACTTAAGTATTTAACTTAAATATATTTCTTAATTCAATGCAATTTAATTTTTATAAATTTATATAATTTGTAAACATTAACTTTTACTTATAACACATACTTTTAGTAATTATATTTCTATACATTAAATCAAATATATTTTTTATATTTTAAGTCATTTGTAGCAGTCATATTCCAGTCCACTAAATTAATTTTTTTATATTTTACATGCCTTGAAGAAAACGCAATCTATGATTGCATTTTCTTGCAAAGCGCACACCTGGTTTGCGTTTTGTGAAGAAAATGCAAAGTAGGATCGCCCTGCTTTGCATTTTTCTTCAGAAAACGCTATACATGTTCGCATTTCTGCTCCTTTTTAAATTTAATTACTTTCATGCTCCT